GGAGAGAAAGAGACTTATCTTACAGCGGAATCAGCAAAGCTGTTATCGAACATGCTACGGTTACTCGAATCCGACTCGAATGAGAGACAGTCCAGGAGGCCTTGGCACTGTTCCAACCGTTGAAATATTCCTCGTGGAATACAAGAGTACTTCTATACGAAGTTAATCGTTCGTGATCAAAGAGCCACCCAAGTACGATGAATTTGCATTTGCGAGATGCGAAAAGGAAGGAAAACTGAATGAACATCATGAACGTTGTGAAACACGTTCTTTGCAGCACGAATTAATCACTATCGATGAATCAATAAATCATAGTCAATTAAGTCATTGCTGCTTCTCTTGACGGAGACGTAATATGAAGAAAAATGAGTTTATGACTCTGAGTTTATGAGACATTCTCGAAAACGTGGAACTTCTCCATTTTATTTATTTACAAAGTGCATAATATCTGTAAAAGCATATAGAGAAATCATAGAAAAATGTGAATTAAATAATACGTAAGAATATAACGCACAAGATATAAATATAATCTGTACTTATATAATTTGCGATAGGACATGAAACTATGACACGTTTTAATTTATTAAATAAATTGTAAATTGTATTTTATAGAGTAAATTGCATTGCACATTTTAGGAAAGATAATGTTGGGAAAGATAACAGAGGAAATGCATTTACAAAGTACACAGAGTTTCTGAAATTTCATTTCAACTATCGAGCTACATAATGATCAGAACTAGAAAATGAGATTTGATCCAAGCATTACTTCCGTATGCGAAAATCTTTCGCAAAGACTCTCTATAAGCCATTTGCCGATGTCAAACTTTCCTCGGGTTAAAGTCAGATGGTACGAACACATCCCAACTTCATGTTCCGAATTAATCTACCTGTATTCGAGAATCTGTTCTATACAATAATTCTCAGCTACTACAGCATACTGAAACAGCAATTGAGTCCTACTTCAAACAACTAGTTCTGTCACATTCTGTTACAAAGTTTCATGTTTTACATTCCATGAAGAGAGCAATGTATGTGTAGCTCATAATAATTATTCATATATCAATACCGATTTAAATATTAATAAACGCAAAATTAATGCTTTCAATACGCACGTATTGCATAATATGCGATATAGCGATATATAACATAAAAATATTAATATAACACGGTATAGCACATAAAATATTAATAAATGTATTAGAGTAATACTCTTTTTAAAACAATAATGACGATATATAATTTTCATTAAATTTTAAACATGTTTCATTACGCATAAATGCGATGAAAAATATATTTCTATACAAGACGCGTGCATATGTTTGAGTAAATGCGTACAGAACTGAGTTTAATCTGAAGTCTTAATTGACGTTATCAATTAGCGAGTCAATCTCCGTTTGGAAATGATGTTCACGAAGTAGCCGGTGATAATCGAATGGATTGATTGAGTCGGTCGTCCCTGAAATCACCAGTTTCGATTAACAGACTGATAGCTGATATTTCAGTTTCCCATTCTTCGATATTTCAGTTTCACACATACATGGATTTTCCGAATAATAATAAATCGCTATATCAAATCCCAGCGGCCCAGCGAGTGTCAGACTTTTACAAAAAATATATATGTTTCGTATATTTTTAGAAAACTGCGCGGCAGTCTCTGGTTAAATATCGCAACAGCAATGTTGTGAAATCTCGCATGAAATTTACGTGAAATAATAAATATTTGTTTTGTATTCATTTAAATTAAAAGTAAATTCTACTTAAAATTATAAAATAAAATTTTATTTTATCATAAATAAAAATGACAAACAAGAAAATCTTTCATCTATGTATATTTTGTACTATCTCTTTTACATTTTATTATATATACCATATGCCTATATTCATTATTTATATATATTTTTATATCATTATAGCTCTTGTTATTTATTATTATATAATTTATTATTATATAATATTTTTAGCAGTACAAATTTTTATTTTTCTTTAAATCAAAAAAGATATTACAAGTTATAACAAGTTATAACATACCGTTTAACATATAACATCATTTTTGCAATCTACATTAAATTGTATATTCCGATATCGTTTTGCAAAAAATAAAAATATGTTAAAATTGTATATTTTTCTCTGAAATGTCCAAATTAATTTACTTTTATTCATCATACATACACACCTTCACGAAAGTAGGAATAAAAATTTTCATTTGCACTCAATAAAAATGGTCATCACGAGTCAGTATCTTATGCAATAACGCAATCATTATTAATACGTTAAGTTATCTACAATCAACTCGTCTAAAATTGCATATCCCCTCCGAAAACGAATCATGCGGGTCTGTCGTCATCGTGTTTAATCGAGCGCAGAAAATTGTTCACCGATTCTTTAGTTAAGCGCACGCTATCGTTGTGAATTTCGCGGATATGATCAATAATTTCGCGATGCACTTAAACGTGCCTTATAAGCATGCACACGTTATGGAATAGCTTACTTTCAACGTCTTAATTTATTGTACGTTGCAACCACGGCTGGAATCGTTCGTAAATGTTACACACTGGGTTCTTAATGTATATCTGTTTCGTCCCAGTTATTACACAAATATATTGTTCCTAAATCCACACACACACACACGTGGGCTCTCTATACTTTCCACTCTCGTACACGCATCGCTGCCAAGATAGTTTTATTACGAGTATACTCCTAATTACACCATACTTTACGCGCAACATCAAAGTGCGGTTACTAACGGTAAAAGAACGGATGGTCTAAAAACAGCCAGTTTTGCACCGGTTCTTAATTGCTTTGCAAATCTCTACGATGTGAGTAACCACAAGTTAATTAAAGTTTCAACGAAAAATATATCAATTGTTAAAAAAAGACGTACTCGCGTACGTAAGAGCATTAAAATCCTTTTTTCTCAGAATCGTGGCTGCGCGATTCAGTTTCCATTTGAAACCTCTATTTCCTCCCCTCCTCTCTCTCTCTCTCTCTCTCTACTCTTATAATATTCTTGCGCAATATATCTTTTACTTTGTATGTGAATAATGTAATTTATAAGTCAGAGTGTTCGCAAAGTTGTTTACCAAAGATGAATTTCCTAACTTTTGTAGTTTTTCTTTAAGCGGTAATATAATTCTTTATAATTTGTTGTAAAATTATATTTAATACAATTTTCATTACAATCTCTTCCCCAAAGATCATTAATCTCGCTTGCGAACAACCCGAGCACTTGCCTTCAAGATAAACATCATGTGGTCGATTTATATGCATTCGTGACACAAAGTAAATACAAAATACAAGAGGAGCCAAGCCACAAGCACGACAACAGAAAGAGAGAATCACGTCCGAAGGAGAAGAAGAAAGGGAAGAAAGGGAAGAAAGGGCAAAACGAGCAATAAATGAACGACATGCCCCTGATACCATGGAAAGTATTGATTCGAGAGCATGTACGAGAGATGCACGTACGAGGCTTAGAACAAACGAATATTTTCCGTGAATCCGCCTGTGCGTATACTTGCACACAGACACGCCCACGTCTTTGTAAATGAGTACATCAAATGCGTGTGTCACGCAACAGCCAGAAAGAAGAGCTGCAGACTTTTGCAAATTCATACGGAAACAAAATATCTGAAAAGAAGATATGTAATAAGTATTATCTTCTTGAAAAAATCTTTATTGTTTTTCTCCAGCAGAATTTTAAATTGCGGTTAATTATCAATTAACCTCAATCATAAATTAATTGCACTGAGAATATACAATTAAAAAAAAAAAAAAATAATATATATATATATATACGTATAAAAAGATTGAAAGTTTTTTTTTAATCATTTATAAGTTTTTATATATAACAATATATAATAATATGCAACGAAAAAATTTAGAAAAATTATATTTAACAAAGAACTTACATAGAAAATTAAGTAAAAATTAAAAACTGTTAACGCTATTAAATTATGATTTAATAATATCAAAAATTTGTACAATGCGTTTTGTCTTCGTATTTTGCGATTGAAAGCATTATTCTTGGAAGAAGTTCTTATCTGCAATCAAAAAATTATCATTGACCCTAACTTTATATAACTCGTTGATAACGTTAAATATGCTATTTCGATACATTAAACATTCAAATTTCAGTATAAAATTCTTGTAAAAATATTGTAAAATTCCAAAGTAAATACATATAATTCAAAAATAATTAAATAATAAGAGATTTACTTTAAAATAATATTTTTTAAGATACTCGGATCCTATTCAATAATTTTGTATATCTTTAAAAGTTCATTTTTTTTAAATTTCCGCAAAATGTTCACGAAAAATCAGATTGTTTTCATATCTTTAAAAAACTTTTTAAATGAAGAGGTACAAGAACTGTATATTTTTTACTCCTATGCTTTAAGCTTCCCAAAGCATCGTATCCGAATAAGTTGCCTCTCCCCTTCTTGCGAGCACGTATGATGTCATCGTATATGGGGGTCATTTATACATGAAGGGCTACCGGCACTTAAGTATGCGTTTAAAAGGCGGAAGCGTGGTTATAGAACCAAGTTACATGACACATACATACGTAGGCGCAACAACAAATGTTTATGTCCTGTGACAAGCAAAAAAATCTCATTTCGCGGCAAAAAAAATCTCATTTCGCAGCAAAAAAGTTTATTAAACTTGCTACTTAAAAATTTTAATCAGCAGATATAACAGATATTAAATATTTCAAGGCTTTCTAAAAACATACAATTTAAAAATACAACATTTTTTTAATAATCTAAATTTAAGATTTGTTTATAAAATCGTGATTGCATTAAATTATTTAAGCATTATTTTCTCTTACAACTTTATTACTTTTGTGTTATAAGTTTGCAATAATATATGCATATTTATGTAGTGAGATAGTCTTTTTTAAATCAAATTATAACTATAAATTTGGTAGCAGCAAGTCTAAATTAGTAAAACGTACAAAAAATATTTTATATCTAAAATTTAATAGACTAAAAATAAGTACTTCAGGGTTATTGCGACCCTTCTGCAGACTATTGCTCTTTAGACATACGCAAAGAAGGGTGAGGCCCTAAATGAAAGGAATGGAGCATGAAAATATGGGTGGCTAATATTTGTGAAAAAAGAAGGTATGTAAAGAGACTAGACAAGTCTGACTAAAAATAAACATAAAAAACATAAAATTAATCAAAGGATAAGTAAGTAAAAAATATATTGTTAACTTAATAAAAATTAATAAGTAATATCTATCAGCAATTAAATCGCAAACAATCAAAATGTGATAAAATTTAAATATTTTAAATATTTCAACAATTATTTCTCTTTACATATCGGAATATATATTTCCTGCATCTTGCATATAAATTTTGCAATTTTGCAATTTTTTGCAAATAAAAGAGTAACGTTTTTAATTTATGCATCTAATGAATATAAAATACGTCTAACAAAGAATTTCCCTGTCTGTTTGTCTGTCTCTCTCTTTCTCTTTCTCTCTCGCTTGCTGGCTAATTAACCGAGTTATTGCTGTTCGA